TGCGTCTGGTGGTGGATCAGGGTTGGCAGGGCCAAATGCTGCCTCAGAGAGAAAACTTTATGTGGGAAATCTCCATTTCAACATGACAGAGTTACAGCTTAGACAGGTAACAAGATTGACGTCTTTATCTGCGTACAGTAACAAAAGCACTAGGATAGACCCTTGTTATATGCAATGCATAATGGTGGAGGCTTAAATGTGCATATTCTGTGATGTTGATCTACCTTAACTTGTAGAATAACTGCCAGACATCTTAGGGCTCTTTGCTTCTTATAAATGATAAATTAATTATCCGGTACAGACACCGATGTATGCGTTACTTTTTTTTTAGTTGGGTATGCGTTACTTTGTTTTTTTTTAACATGGCTATGCGTTTTTTATTCTGTTTCTGATTGCATTCCATTATGTCTTGTGTGTTCAGATTTTTGAAGCTTTTGGGCCAGTGGAGCTTGTGCAATTACCTACAGATCCTGAAACAGGGCATTGTAAGGGTTTTGGATTTGTCCAAGTAAGTATTTAGCAGAACTGCACTGTTTCTCTTCAATATATTTTTCGTTTATTTTATTTCTTTTAATAACGCCTTTATGTTTCAACTTGGGTTCATCTTAGTTTGCTCAACTCGAACATGCAAAGGCAGCTCAAAGCTTGAATGGCAAGCTTGAAATTGCGGGTCGCACCATCAAGGTATGTCTCTGTAGACCTTGCTTCTTTAAATACTGTTGGATGGAAGTATTACTGAGCCTTGACTAGCCTTTTTGGTTCAATGCAGGTTTCATCCGTTACTGAACATGTCGGAGTACAAGATGCTGGAGCTAAAACTGCAGATTTTGATGATGATGAAGGAGGTGGCTTGGTGAGTTTGCTCTTAAATCATTATATTGGAGGACTTTGCATGCCATTTTTCCCCTTAAGTAGGTTAGATACTTCGGAAATTATGAGTATGATAGTGGTGGTAAAAGGTCGATCCATGTGTTCTCATTTGATAGGCTATCTGTTAGACATAACCAGAGAAAAGTGATGTTCTAGTTTACTGGATCATCATTACAGCTTCTAGTCTCTCTCTCTCTCTCTCTCTCTCTCTCTCTCGGCCGATTCATGTGTTCTCATTTGACAGGAGCTTTCTGTTAGACATAACCGGTGAAAAGTGATGTGCTAGTTTACTGCATTATCATTATAGCTTCTAGTCTCTTTCTCTCTCTCTTCCTACTTTTTTGTTTATTTTTTTT